TCTGTATTGCAAACGCGACACGTAAAGCTGAAATTGGGCTTTGAGTCTCTTTCGCCTCTTCTCTCTTTTCAAAGCTCATCATGTTGCAGAATAAGGCCTTCTGGTTCGCGGTCGTGGCGGCGATCGCCGCCGTTGTTTACGTACGCTCGGCGGCTAGTCCCACCGAAGAGCCGAAGAACGGGCCGTTGAAAATCACGTTCATCACTGCGGGAGCCGGCGAGTACTGGGACGCGGCGGTCCGAGGCGCGGAAGACGCCGCCGAACAGCAGGGGATCACGCTCAACGTCGTCAAGCTGAAGAGCCCCGAGAGCGTTGAAGAGCAGATGCAGGCGCTGTCGGTGGCCAGCATGTCGAACGCCAACGGCGTGGCGATCAGCCCGATCGACCCCGAGCGGGTGACGCCGCTCATCACCCAGATCGCCAGCATCAAGCCGGTGGTGACTTACGACTCCGACGCCTCGAAGTCCGCCCGTCACGGCTATATCGGCACGAGCAACTTCAGCGCGGGGCTGGTCGCGGGGACCCTCGTGAAAACGGCGATTCCCGAGGGGGGCAAGATCGCGGTCTTCATGGCCAACGAGACCAAAGAGAACCTGATCGAACGCCAGGGCGGCCTGCGGACGCGCATCGCCGAGTCTCCCGATCCGGCGGAGTCGCCGGTCGATCCGCGCTACACGATCGTCGGCTTCTATCCAGACGGTGGCGACGACGAAGTTTGCAAGGCGAAGCTCGCCGAGGTGCTCGAAGAACACCCGGACCTTGCCTGTGTGGTGACGCTCAATTCACGGCAAGGGCCCGTGGTGCTCGATGCTCTTCAAGAACTCAAAAATAGTGGCCAAGTTAAGATGATCGCCTTCGACACATCGGATAAAATACTGCAAGCGATCGAAGAGGGCCGTGTCTTCGCGGCTGTCGCTCAAGACGCGTACAAGTACGGCTACGAGGCGGTCAAGATGGTCAGCTACCTCTGCCGCGGTGAAGAAGAGTTTTTGCCGGTCGTTGGCCGGGGCGCCATCCATATCAGCGTAGAACCGATCCGTCAGGACGATGTCGAAACTTATCGCAAACGGATCGAATCCCGCCGTCCGGATGCCAAAGGTTGAAATGCCGGAATCCCTCGGGCCGGGCCCTTACGCACGCTACGCATGCTTCTTGTTGGCTGTGGGCCTCGCGGTGCTCGGTGTATCGGTGAAGGCGGCGGACCCGCGGCTGGGCCGACTCGTGAACCTGCGGACTGACCGTTTCCCTTTCACGCCGCCAACGTCGGTTGAAGAGTGGAATCAGCGATCCGCAGAGGTGCGGCGTCAGGTGCTCGTCGCGGCCGGCTTGTGGCCGATGCCCGAACGTCCGGCGCCCAAGGCCGA